ACTGTTTTTTTTTTTTTCGTTACGAATAGAAAGCTTCTAAACTCTTCACTCCTGCGACGTGCGCAATTCTGTCTATGTGGGATATATTCTCAAGCTCTCAACATGTTATTGTTATCCATACTATTATTACTACTATTATTTGTAAAAACCATTGAAACAAGTTACAAAATAGACAACAATTCCAAGTTAATGGTAACAGCAACAGTCGTACTTCAACTTCAATTTACCAACAAACAAATACATATACGATTCTTATATTTTAGCAAAGTTAGCGATGTAAATGTAAGCCACTCCTCAATTAGCAGTTATGATATTCGCTGTGTTTTCACAGGGGCTTCTGGTAAAAAGAGCAGATCAATTTTTATGCACGGAGCTCGTTCATCCAATACAGGAAAGCTTGATATATAATAAATCTGTTAGAAATTTACTTATAGGTGCTTGCCAATATTTTTGCGACGCACAGCAGATTAAAGCGTAGCGTACATACAATGTCTGCATGCATACATACATACATACATACTATGCCGATTTCAGTATAGTTTTTTGTGTCGTCGTCTTTCCGTTCCAAAATTAGTGAAACAATGCAAAGCTTATCGAAAGAAAACAATGTTACCTCTAAATAAGAGCGTGCGTCTCGCAACAAAGACGTATTTTTGACCCAGGCGCCAGCTGATATATTCGGGTCGCCCATCGGACTCCACTGCAAAAATATGTAAGTCGTGATACCACTTCTGTAGTACATAAGATAAAACAGCGCTTCTACAAACTTTTGAAAGCATTAACACTTTATCAGTAAAGCACGTACCGCATCATTTTTACGCCGGCGATCCCTTCTATCACACTTTTATTTATTATGAATTAATGACAAATTTATAAAACCTTTACTACACTCCTTTTATATTTTTACGTGTTTTAGCGTCATTTCGACTAACGACTATTTAACCTAACGACCATGAACACACGCCATATACATTCAATCAAACATTACCGCAATCAATAAATTATTTGCAATAGGTAGTGGCAGCCGACTGCAATAACAACACTTAATATAATTTATTTTTCAGGATCATGGTCATCATTTTTGTCATTCATTCATCCCATGCCCCATCAGTCCGACGCCCGTCACGTGCCTACCACGTCGAAGTACGACGGATACGTTGATGTTAGTTCGGCAGTGCACGCTAATTAGTGTTAGCTTACGTATTCTAAGTGGCATCGAGTTATCGTAAATTACTGGAACTCAACGCCATCAAGCTCGAGACACCAACGTGATCGCGTTGTACCGCGTTTATCTGTAGGGAGCATTGTTTTACTCCAGTGTAACATGTAGCGAGTCCATATTTAAGTTGGCTAACTTGAGTACTTGCAAATCCTTTACCAGTCATTAATGACGATATTCGGGTTTCGCTAGTTCTTCGAACTGTAATTATTTCATCGGTAGATCTGAATCTATAGTTGCCTGAACCTTCTTCGTGGAACTTGTAGCCTGCCTCCGTGTCGATCTTGCGACCGTGCGCTCGGTACTGGGCACGCCTCATAGGGCTGTATCTGACAATACGTTAGCTACTAAAGGCTAAAAGACGGTCGTGGAACTAATGTGTGAATGTACGTCTCCGTGTATATTTGTTCAGTTTATAGAAGGCTATACAGGATAGCATTATCCAGGTATCCTTTTAGTGGTTAGCCACGTCTCGGCTTGTTGGACTAACCCTTTGCTCGTATCGTCACACTCGATCTACCTCGTTGTTTTCTCGTCTATTACGAAATTGGCACGAGCTCTACTTTCATTGCGATGTCTTTGTTTTGTGTGCTGCAAACCTAAATACACAGACCTTCGCAAAAGCATCGCTGAACACCCATCTTAAATAATTATATATATATATATATATATATATATGTATGTATGTAAATAAACTATTATATTTGTCATCTCTATCTCCCCATTAGTCTCGTTTGTTTGTTTTCGGCCTATTTCGATGATACACAACAAGAGCCTGTTATAATATCCGGTAACAACGGTATTATATGAATATAGTTTGTTTATATCTCACAAGCTCCATTAGTCGGTAGGGGTTTTTCGATTGCTCAGTAAACAGCATAAACGATACAACTGCACACGATTGATGCGGTTGCAGTCGCAGTCATCTTTCTATCGGGGAAGGGTTTCTTGTATGTATATAAATCATGTAATGCATGTTTTCGTATTTGAAGAGCTGAGAGTGACAAACGATTATAATTTCTTCTTTGCTAGTGCTGTGCTAGTATCACAGCACGTTTTCAATATTCGGTCAACCTGTTAGTTTATTGTCCTGTCAGCCACGATGTTCGGTATGTTTTTTTTTGTTTGTTTCTGTGTTAACATAATCAAAAACATAATCAAACAAAAATACAAACCAACAGACCTTTACTATATGTAATTCTGCTTTTATTCATGTTTCTTATTCTGTCTACTTTTATCAGTGACAATGTGTATATATATAATCTATCGTGATTTGTTGTGTCTCTTCAGAGTCTTCAAAATTCGCTGCTTCGAATGTTTTTTTTTTGGTCGTTTTTATTCGTTATCCGTCGGATGATAACAATAGTAATGCTACGTTCGTTTATCTTATTTTTCTTTATTTTGTCTTGCAGTTACTGTTACTGATAGTTTTAAAGCAGTACTGTTAAAGTTATGCGATAAATTGACCTAAGTCGCCGGCCGGTCAGCGGTGTGTTGACATTATCATTATGAGGAAAATATTATACTGTAGTAAAATATAACGCGTAACTTCGAAGCCATTGCACAATCATCGTACTGAGGCCTAATGCCTTTCCATTTGCTATGAATTCATCACAAGTCACTTGCCTTTTGGTATGTGTTGCTATACGTGTCCAGTCAATTTGTTTTTTTCGTCACTCGTCGTCCCTTTATTACCCGCAGGATCAACAACAACAATAACAATCGACGGATGACTTAGCGTACAAAGTAATACGTTGCTAGTAGTTATATAATTAGACATATTAATAACAATGTCCTTACTCTTAGATGATCATGTTGTTAAGTTAAGTTAAGCAAGCGCCGTCGTACGCGTTCATTTTTTTTCTGCTTGTTGTTTGACCTTAGTGAGTGAGCAACGCGTACCGCATTATGATTACAGGTCACCTATCGACTAACACCGCAGAACACCGTTGTCCAAAGCTTCTAGGTAATAGTTCGTTTGTCATTCAGTACGTTCTACATCTCTAAGCGACAGGCGCGAGTTCGCTGAAATGGTTTCATTTGTCCACTCGTTTATCCGCCGGTAAATACGTATTTTGTAGATGCTCGAAGTACCAGAAAATGTCGTTGTGCCGGTGTAAACACCATAGCGGTCATGGGATATTTTTCCTGCGGGCTTTTGCCGCGGCTCGTCGACGGCGCCAATTCTACAAAGGTAAGATAACAAAGGAATCATGTGTGAAATAAAGGCACAGCGAACTAAAGAAGAAACACGCATACAGGGTAAGTTGGCATTTTTGCATTCAGTGTTTTTTTTGGTCGTCATTTTCATCGTTCGCAGCTTCTCTTCGTCACTTCTTCCCCTTGTCCGTCCATTTTTATAATCACACAAAGTCGTCCGTCTACCGCACCAGAAGAGGCAGTGTCTGCTCTTCGCGACAGCCCATCATAGAACAATCTAGCATAGGTAAGCATTTTTCCTCTGTTTTGCTGACCTGCATTGTTACTCATTCCTTTCTATGTTTTAATACTATTTGTATCACGATCCACCATATTTACTACCTGTTGTATGGTTCTGCGCGGCTATGATAATTACTAGGCATACAACAGAAATGCTACATTGATTTCTGCTCTTTTAAAGACACTTGCGATGTTTGTGATAGTGTTCACTCTATGTATATAATTATATATATGTATATATAATTCACTATAGATTAGTGGCTGTGTTAGTAGAGGTGTCTTTTTTTTGTTTTTTGATATTCTTTTCTTCGACGGCAATTAAACTGTAACTTTTCTTCTGTTGTCATATTAGTTACTATTGTTTGCTGCTTCAGTATGTTTCTGACAGTTTCTAGACGAAAATCACGAACCGGTACTGCTTCGGCGATTGCTTTGGCTTGTCGAGGCATTGTCCTTTCCTAGCCAACGAGCGAACTAATATTTTATATTGTACATATATTTATATACGAATGTATTATCATCGTAGACCACTTCATCACACGTTCATACGCTGTTTTATTCGTTGCCAACCCCGAAACCCTATATAACGATTAGGTTTAACTTCCTATAGCATATATCGTATACTTCTCAGGATATTGTTCAGCGCTGCTGTGTGTTTTTCAAAAACGTGTTATTTCTGCGTTACAATAAGCTATTCGTATCCCTAGTATGTCGTACATCTCCAAGTACAATTATATATATGTTATAAATAAATTAATTGACAACGTCCGGACAATTGTCTTTGATGTTTTGATGAATTCGAGAAAGTGCGAAAAAAGTTTCCTGTATTTTTTTGTCCTACTTTGTGTATATCGAGCCTTTCAGATTTTATCACCCCTCTCGCTATTGTATTTCTTTCTTAAGTGGTGGACTCGCTCGAATGGATAGTTTCGAAGGAGAAGCTGACTTGATGGCTTGGTTGGGTGTTACTGTTAAAGTCTTGGTGTTTAGGTGAACGAATTGCAGTGGCCTAGGGCAGGCCTGGCCTTGTATGGGAGTCCCGTGATCAGCGAATAAGCGGTGCCATATCACGATGGTCTGTGCATAACTCGGTCTCATTGGATTAAATATTCCCTGAGAAAAAAGGTTCTGCCTTGCGCTCAGGTCTAGCGTGTTTCATTCTCATCGTATCTTACGTTAAATACTCGATTTTTTCTTTTGCTCTTTTGCTTAAACAGGACAAGAGTGGCGCCTTTTGAGGGCCTATGGAAGATCCCTTTCTGGTGTTTCTTGTAACAGGCTTTTTATATTATATTACCTATGTGTGTGCGTGGGTGTGTGTGTGGGAGTGTGTGTATGTGTACTAAATGAATTGACCGCCCTTATTGACGCTGACCACCGTTCCAACCATGCCCATTGCCGAAGGCCCAACCCGATCACTCCGAAACCCTTGTATCGGCTGAATATTTTTTCTGTTCTTTGACGTCGCTTTAAAAATATTGCTACCTAAATTCGATAAACAACTCGTCGTATCGAGCGGCGGCGGGACAGCGGCAGCGATACCTGCTGGAGGATATTCGACGGAGTCCCATTGCTCGCGTTCCCTTTCATTAAATGCAGTCACTAGTAAATTGCCGTGTAGCTCATTGTTATTGTCGTTATTATTGTTATTGTTATTATGGTTATTCTTGATAGTGTTGCTTCCATTATTCGCACAGTTCGATCTTATCGTTGTCGCTACTGCGTTTAAGGGTACGGACACTGCACGCCTGACACTCATCGAATCGGCCGCTGCTGTTTCGTGAGCAGAAGATAAGAAAGATTTTCCGGTAGGAGGCCTCCGTTTCCGCTCGGCAGATAGCCCCTGCTTATTGCTAGTATGTTGACGTTCCATGTTTCTGTTTTTGCAGCTCTTGTTGTTTGATGTAGACGAGACAGATGTCGTTAAAGAAGAACGAAATGACGTAACCGTATTCATTGTAGTAGTAGAGGGAGTAGTAGCTAGCAGAGAAAAGCAGGTCGTCGTCTGCAGCGCCGAAGGATTACAGGAGATAGGAGAACATGGAGTTGAAGGACAAGATGAGACATACGTTATCGGAGTGACGTAGAAAGCAAAAGATTCGGAACTGTGGCTGCCGCTAGTTGAAGCTGGAATTAAGTCAGAAAATGCTCGAAGTGGAGGAACAATCGGTGAACCACTACTTTTTATAGTACTACCAGCAACAGCCACTGTCGTAGTTGAACTTGCCGTCGTTGTCGTGACAGAAGTAATTGTGGTTGTCCCAAGTGGAAGAAGTTTAGGCTGATACTGGTGCTGCCGTTGAATCTTTTGCTGTTGCTGCTGCAGCTGAGAGACTGCTAAAATTGGCGCAGCAGTTGGAGTAACCGTCGAATGAAGTAGAAAGGATTCTCTGTTGTCGACCTGCGGTCGTTGCAGCTTCTGCTGTTGTCTACGGGTACTATAATGAATTGGAGATGTGGGGTCCTCCTCAAGGGGAGGGTGTGAGCCCCCGCAGCCGCTGTTGCGGCTGCAATCGCCCACCCGGTTTACGGTTACACCGCGGTGCTCAGAATGCTGAGATGGATGCGCCTTGTTGATGACTCGATTCGGCACTTGCGCAGTCGGAGAGGAATCCGTTGAGGTTGCTGCTCTTGCGATTACGGCATCGGAAGAGATCAAAGGAAAGCAGGTACTACTCTCCTCTGAAAGCAACGCTTGGCCGCTCAGTTTTCGTCGGTGGCGGCTATTACTGCTGCTGTTGTGAGCGGCGTCGCTGCTACCGGAGACAGCTTGAACGTCTTCGGAGAACTTCTGTCGCGTTGTGGCGGTGGCGGAAGCTATGGCCGACGCAGCTTCAACTACGACTACTTCTTCCGCTGCTGCTAGAGCGTGGCTTCGACTAAGCGCACGGGCCTCCCCCGTGTGACCCCAACAAGCGGGAGCAACCGGGGGCCGGCTAAGGCTCTTGAGAGTGTAAGGCAACTTTGTGGCAGGGCCAGTGCTTACGCCTTGCGCCTCCGTAGTCTCGAGAGTTAGCTGGCAGTTAATATGCTGCTCGGGCGTATCCACATCCTCCAACTGGGCAACAGCCGATCCTTCAAGCCTCTGGGTCTGAAGAAATTCCCCACTGCCCGTCCTGTTGCCTTGCAGCGAGTTCGATGGTGAAAACGAGGATATCTTGAGGCTGCCAATAACCTTTCCGTTTTTGCTAATCCTCACGACGCTACTGGGTGCACCGACTCCATCCGCAGCCGGAGGACTGCACGCGTTTTGCGACTGCTGTTGCTGCAGGTAATGCTCAGCGCAACTGTCGACAATCGCCAACTGTTCAAACTGGCTACCGGCAAGGCGGGTACTTTGTTGTTGCTGATCTGTGGTCCTCGAATATAATAACGGATTACTATGGCAAGAAAAAGTAGATGAAGACGGAGAACAAGATGCGATTACATGATGAGACAAAGCGCTGCCACCTTCTGAAGTCAGCGAACCCCATGAAGTCACTGCCTGAGCTATGGCGAGACCGACACCGTTGCTGCCAATCAATGGGGTGGTTGATCTTCCGAGGTTACTGCTGCTTTCGTTGCTGTGAACGCTTCTGGCTTTAGATGCTGCTGCTGCTGTTGCTATTTGGGGGTAAAGTGATAATGAGGTGGATGAGGGACTCGCACATGGCGATGGCGATGCTGCGGAAGCCGTCCGGCCGGTATGTGCTCCATGAAGGGGGTGTTCCGAACGGCGCAGCGGCTTCGCCTAATAGAGAATTAACAGCAAAAATAGTACGAGCATTCAGAGTGGAAGGGAAGAAAAAACATTCTCACAAAGTTATTAAATGTCCCGTTTATAATAGGTGCCAGGATATACCACTAGTATATACTGCTGACTAATATAATCAAAACGTCATGCGAGTGCGCACCAACCTTTAGTTATTGACATGTTTCGATGGGATTCTCAGTGATGTTTACTTTATCCGACGTTGAATCCTCCTCGACAACGGAAGTCTGTCGGGCCATTCTGGTGACAACTGCAGATCACGTAAGTGATAACAGCACGAATTGTTGTTCCGCATCAGTTCAGGATCGGCGACAGGAAATCCATATGGTGACCGATGATGGCCCCCGGTATCGACAAAGATATGATCGGTGCAAGAGGAGAGCGTGAAGTTCGATTTATGTCATACACCGGCAAAAGGTGGAGCGTGTTTATTTTGATTTTAGCGCATTTGAGGGAAATTAAGCAGTGAATATTGGGCATATAGTCCGTAATTTCGCCATGTAACAAACGATATGCCACAATATGTGGTGCAATAAATGAGACAGGCAGGAGACGTGATAAAAGGCGTAGTTGGTTAGGTGGGTGTGGAGCAGGACGTCGTGTAACAGCGGGTCGTGGTTTTTGACAGCGAGGGTCAGTGTCACCGTTAATCAATTAAATAAAATTATCCATAGAAAAATCGATTTTTTTAGTGCGACCAATTAAATAACGAGAAATAATTGCGAACAAAAACATTTGAGAGAAGAAAATACAAAGACGATCACACGAATCCAAAGGGGATAGAACGCGAGCGATTGCGTGATGCACGTCGATGGGCAGGTGGTGGCGGGTGCAGGACACCGGTGTGGTTATTCCGAACAGTCGGCATGCGGGAAGGGAATAAAAAAAAAAAGACAAGTTCGTACATTAGCGATCGATATTCGATTAGATATACCAACTAGCCAGACATAGATTATAGAGTTGCATCGTATCCATCAACGTGTCACAACAAACAAACGTAGGCAAAACAGATTCATATATAATGAAAAAAAAAAGAACAAAAAAGGCAGGATCAACACAAATACGCAAGGTTACATCAGTCAGGCAAGCATTCAGTCATTCCTAATCAGTCATTTACGTCACTCATGCCCATCATCAATTCGTTTGAGTTTTTTTTTTACTAGCCTTCCAGTTGAAACTGTCATCAAATGTTTTGAGTTTGATGTGCGGTACCGCTATTAGGCATTCCATCAGACAGCTGGAACCTCGTATGAACCAACATGTATCTACTCCCGGTTTTTAGTACAGACCACTAAATATCTGTTAGATTTATTGGTATCATCGGTACCAGTAATACTACCAGGGGCCCGGTATTACCACCGTTGGAACTAGTATTATCACAATTTCTATTACGAGCCCAAATAAAAATGCACGTTTTTTTAGGAAACCTTCTCTAACGAAGGCAAACATTTATTGTTTAGTAATGGATTGATTGTAGCTACCAGTCAAGCATAGTCAATGCTCATTATATCGTTTTCTTTAATTTTGGTAAACTCGGAAGGAAGGTTAAGTTTTATTCTAGCATCATTGCACGCGTCTGTATATGTATGTAAATTGATAGATTGTTTTTCCTGAGCGAGGCGTATATGTCGCACTATGCGTTTTTATGAAAAACGGCTAAGTCGTTTAAGCGAAAAACATTTTTTTAATAAACATTTCTCCTGCTGGAATTACCAGCGCAATTTATTGACGATTGAATATGGTTAACATTGCCGTTTGTCAATATAGCATGTACTGGTAGCAACGGCATTAAAAGGACGTAGAGCATTTTACACGCCCTTCAAGTTTATCTACGTTTAGTTTATTTTTTCGGGTTACTTATATTTCGGACTTTCCTAAAAACGTATTGTAAGATTGTCAGGAAAACCTGAACAATACATTTTCCTCAAATCAAGAAAAAAAAATAGCAGGCTGCATATATTTTCTTGTTGTTACCTACGAGACATATATATGTATATATATGTATATATATATATATATATATATATATATATATATATATATATATATAAGCTGCATCTCGTACGCGAAAATGTCCCACCTCGTCTACGACTAATACACAACAGTCGCTCGAAGTCCTCTCTCTTCGACTTTGGAGAGGTACTGCTGTTAAGCTATCAGCTTTTTCCTATGGACGTCAAATGTGTATAACTAGATCTCAGAATATATGAACTATCGGCTCGCCATCGGCAACACGTCATGGTCGGCATAAAACAACCAAGAATCCGATTTCTTATTACGTACTTTATGCCGGCTTAGTGTTCACTGGATACTAGAAAGCGGTAGTAGGAGGCAATATAAGATTTTCTCTAACGCTGTTGTTAAGTATAGACAAAACTCCACTCAGTAGCTGTTTATGGCTATCCGATGCGACCAGATGAATAGCTGAATGAGGCAATTGTTTAATATACGTATCGCCTCTAACTAAATTAATAATAGCACACCATTATAGAGTTAGGACACATGCATGTGCCGAATACGAGACAAAAAAGGTCTCCTGTTTGTTTCCAACTTCTGTAAATTTATCTGGTTCTTAAACCTTTATGTAGACCTGTTCATTGAAACATCTTTGAACTGAACTTTCCTTGGTGTTTGAGCGGACTCTGGCTCGTTAATGAGATATTGGTAAAATCGATCATTGGAACGGACGGAAAAGCTCCGCGACAGTCTTTGGTGCCCCTTTTAGACGTCTTGAAATGCTTTAGAGAAAGAGAAGTTTATTGGGTGCTGTGACTTTGCCTTAGATCAATGGCGCCTGATCCGTGGTTTTCACATCTTAAAGAATAATTCAGCGGCCAAAATAGGCTACACCAGGTGGTGTCGATGGAGCTGATAACTTCTGTTCGATTTGACATCTTTTATTCAATTCTTCAGATCTACGGGCGGACTCAGTTATGACACAGTTCTGGCGGTGAAAGGTGCCATATAGATGTATCATGGCACACTGAGACTTAGGCTCAGGGCGCTGATATAGAAGCAGCAACAAGGCGTGCATGAATATTTACGAATAGATAGAGAATATCATGAAGAAGATCCGAGCATGATTCAGAATTGAACATGACGGATGTACACAAAGGGAAAAGTAAAAGAAATATATTTTTGATAACGCCAACCACATCAATAATGCATGCATAACTCATACAGTGCAAAAACAAAATCAAAGAGGGATAAATTAGCCAGTATCATATAAGTGCCGAACAGAGGTTTAGGAGGCACTCGTTGGATATCAACCGAAAATGATTTCGTACAAATAATACGGAATATATGATCGAAATAGAAGTCAAGTCAGAAAAAAAATATTGTTGCAAAAAAAAATATATATATATATATATATATATATAATTTGTTTTCATTGGTCGATAATATATTTTAATTAATATCAATTTTTATTTCAACGATGGTGTTAATAGTGGCCATATGATTGGTAACGTTGGTGATGAATGAACGATCATTGTATTCGCAATCAATGGCGTCGCAATTTTTTTTTGTTGTTTTTGCCCAGGTTCGAATGCACAGTCACACACACACATACAGAGAGGCACATAGCGCAGCGGAACGGAGTGCAGCAGCAGGATAGACGGCAGAGCGGGACCGAATGCAGTAGACAGATTGGGTGTTGGTGAAAATGGCACACGGAGATTCATGGTTGTGACGGCAGAAGATGCGGATAGTAGTAACAGTATGAGCAGCAAGAATACAACACAACACGAGGGTTACAAATAAGTTAGACGATGAAAGGACACTATCAATTAAGAACGAGAAACAACAAGAACAACAACGGCGGCAGCAGCAGCAGCAGCAGCAGCAGCAGCAGCAACAACAACAACAACAACAACAACAACAACGAAGGCCATGGCCACACTTTCTATCGGTCCGGCTCGCTCACTTGTCAATCATATATGACCTTAAGGGAGGGTAAATATATGCCAACTTTTTCGGACTCTTATTAATAGGACTATTGGAGCTGGTAAGATACAACATTCAACGTCCTTGCGTTTGAACAATTCAGAACACGACAAACACCATACAGTGTGCGATACGGTGTGTAGAACCCAGCAAGAAGAAGACTGAAGATATACAATACAGGACTGACTGACTGACTGACTGACTGCTGTTGAGTGGGCGAGAAAAGACTAACGAAATGGCTTAGTAGTCAGGAGAAATACACCAATAACGACAATGGTAATCAGACGAGAGCCACGAATGAACGAAAATAAAAACTACTACACCAAAGGCGACAGGCTGCGATATCAAGCTTGGTGAGAATAGGACGGCTCAAATCAGGACAGCAATCCAACATCAGACAAGGTAAACAAGTCGTTCACACACGCACGCACGCATGAAAACATATGGCAGTGCTGAAGAGGCTTCCACGTCAATTAACCACTCTGTTTCGCGCATAATCTTAAGTGATCAGACTGCTCAAAAAGGGCACTAGATTGATGAAGTATTATAGAAATTAAGGCCGGGTTAAGACAAAGGCCAAATCACCACTTGCCCTAATTTCACTGTCCTGCTAAGTACAAACGGCATTACCAGCAGTAACTATAAACCTTTTGAATATTTCATTTGTTGACGATTTTCAGGAAAATTTCAAACAAAACAAACGAAACCGAGTGTTTCTGTGAGAAGAGACAAAACTTGGAAGGTTTCGTTTCTTAAGAACGCGAACGAGAAGGAACTGCAGTCGATGTGAAGTTTGCAATCGTAGACAACTTCTTAGTGTACATTTGGCCGGGTTAAGGAACAGCAGGAACAGTCAATTGGTGAATGGTAAAAAGAAGGACACGCTCGAAATCTGGATCGAATCAGGTTGGTCAGGGGCTATCAAACCACTAGGTAAATTCTCATTACCATGGACAATGCCTTAGCAATTTCACCTGTATGGAGGATTTTGAAACTTTATACTGAAGGACGTGGGGCATATGGCGAGCGGCGCATATGGTTTTGTTCCGGATCGATATAAGGAGCAATTTGATTCGCTTAAGGTTTAGACAACCGTCTTTGGCACTGACCTGCGGCAGCAGCAGCAGCCTCCTTAGCGGCGATTGAAGACCTCCTTCTCTCCGCTAGGGCTTCATTCAGGGACGCGGCCGAAGTACGTCTCTGGGCAGAGTTCAAAGCTGTAAGGGCAAATAGAGCCAGAAAGAAATGGAACAACTGACGTGAACGTTGGCCAAGGAATGCGTACATACCGCCTGTAATTTTGATGGTGCAGGAATTCACTCTCATAAATTCAAGTAATCTAAAAAGTGTGGTAATGGTGAATGTATATAGCCAGCTGATTTAGAGTGCATGAGTGGCGACCAAACCTGAAATAACAGCGACGGCCGCCAATCCACTTAAACGAGTTCACTTTGCGGGTACAGCGATATGAGCTCGTTAATCAAACGACACATATGACAGTTGAGAATATCGTGATAATAAACAATTATAAATATTTACGGTAGTAGGTACATGCCGTGACGCCATATCATCAATTTTATACTGAAAGAGGTAAGCTTCACGGAGGTGATGGCGGACTACCTCACTTACCATAGCCCAATCCCTGCAAAAAAAGCCTTAGCGCTTCAGAAATCTTGCTAGGTTGTTCCTCGAGCACCATGCCGGCGTCCGAGATCTTCATCCATGATGAGTTAGACGGGTCCAAACGCCCATTCATCGTCACCTATAATCGCACATTGAATTGCCAAACGATAAGATACTGTGTCTGTGTCAGCTATTCGGTACTCCATCGTTTATTAAACTAGATAGTGACCGTTCTATCCAAATAAGACATTCTCTTCGGTAGTAACTGCTACACATAAATATGTCGAATGAAATCAGTTTATTTTGCCTTTAACAGCACATACGAATACGACGATCTTTACATTGTAACTAGGTCTTTGTCTCTGTAGATTTACACGGAGCCTCTTTAGTTCCCGTTTGTTTTTGTGCGAATAACGCTTACTCTTTGAAATATCTCTAAACATTCGCTAATGGAAGGTCAACGTGGAATAGCGTAATCTATATTTAGCCTGAAGTGAACTCTGAGGTGTTCAGGACTGATGGACCGCCGGCTCGGGCAGATTCGGGCGGGCAGATATCGGAAAAAAGAACATAATGGCGCCCCATGAAGGTATGCTCTAATTATCGAGCTCTAACTTTCGCTGCTCTTCCTTGCCTCACCGTCCAGTCTAGTAGAAATGTTATAATTGTAGGAGTCGGATAAACTAAGGGAAGAGCTTGGCTATGCAGGACATCCTTTTCCCTCGTTTAATCCCACGTTGACTATTGCTCTCTCATCTACGCAAGTCAGAATGAATGTCAAAGTACGTAGGTTAGTCTACTGGTAGTTGCTGTAAATCAAAGAAGCAGATCGGGTGATCATTCTCTCTCCTCAAGCTCAACTCTCAAATCGCAAACTGTGATTTAAAGGTCCGGTCTGAAAACAGCAACAGAGTTCTTAAAAATAGGTAGGTAGCACAGAAAGGCAGGTGAGTCCTTTTTAACTAGGCCGAGAACTGGCGATTCCAATAGCGCTAGGTCTTTCTGACATCGTGCGAAACATATGGGCACCAACTACAGATACTGACTAGAAAATTAGAGTCAGGGCCGAAGTAGGCTATATATTTCATAAGGTACTCACAGTATCGTCAACGTGTGGCGAGAGCGCACCCGCAACGAGCATAACGTGGCACTTAAAGTTGCGAGTTCCCTTCTTCTTGTTCGGGTCGAGCTCTCGGACAATATTTAGGTCGTTACGCTTAATAAATGCGTCAATGAATGCTGACAGATTCTGTGCGTTGATGGATTTGCTGAAGTAGTTGCGGTACACCTGCACCATATCGTAATTCCGCTCCTCAGAGAGCTTCCCGAAATGATGCCACAGTAGGTATTCCAAGGTCGAAGCGGTCATACCCGATGACCTGACATAGTTAATGGATCGATACATTGAGTTGATTTGTAAATAGTTTTAAGTGTGTGTGACGCATGGAAAATAGCTGAGTTATGTGATTGCAAAGTATTCACGTGTAAAAAAATCAAAAGGGTATATACTCTCGCATAAATGCCTTTATGTAAGCCGGTCACTTACTTGAGGTACATGGCATTAACCTTTTGGTAGCCCCATTCTGTCCAGGAGCTCTTGCTTGCCGTGCAGTTAATCAGGAAGAGTCCATCAATACATTCCTGGTAGTCAAGTGCGAATTTTGCTAAGATATAAGCGCCAGCTCCAACGCCAAAACCAACAAAGTGCTTGACATCGTAGAACTTCATAATAGGCAGCACCATCTCGGCGAGCTGATCCATCGTTGGAAAAGCGTAACTGTACAACATATATTTACCATACCATTATATTGCAGTTACAGTTAAAATAGATCTCCGGCTCAATCGCCATTTCTTCAATTTTTATCTCTAGTCTTACAAAAGGAATTACCGCTGCTACTCATAAATATGTAACTTTGAATAGCGAGATGCTTGACCAATAATATCTCTATACAATCTATGCCATTTCTGTCAAAAGTGGTTCGATGATATCTTTCCTTTCAGTAAGTCATTATTTCTAGTCTTGATGATAGTACTGCTCTCCTTTAAAGTCTATATTTAGCGATCATTTTTAGTTCTGGGTTCCAACAATGATCCTATTCTACAACAACAATACGAAATCAGCAAGTCGAAACCGACACGCACCCATCAGGGAAATTAGCGGCGCCCTCCTCTTGTCCAGGTGCGTTCAGGTGATAAACGCAGAAGTTTTTCATCATCATATTGACGTCGACGTAGTTGAAGAATGCTTGGAAGTTAGACACGTCTGTAGTGATAGATAACACGAGATACCCATTTGAAAAGAGCGAGCATAAAAAGAAGACCAATTAAGACAAGCATTACGCTTATTAGCGTCATCATCCGAAAATAGAAAAGCTAACCAGGTAGCCTTTGTTGAATAACACGCCATAACTGGTTTATACCAATGTTCAACCGGCAGCACGGGAAGTAACGGTTCCGACAGATTCCTAACAACCTTCAGTCCTCGTCGGTCATTCATTCATTCATCTATCTAGAGCTAGAGCCTTTGCTCCTTCTACTTCAACAGAATTCTGAAAGTCATTTCTTCTTGCTTGACCGTTTTGCCAGATAGTCAGCTGGGCGCTCAGGATTGCATTTGTAGCATTACTCCAAGCTAACTCCAGGCTCACCCTCTCTGGAACCCATTCCTATGGATTATCTCTTCGCTCCACCTGGGGAGACGTGGAAAGGGGGTATCGTAAAGGGAAAGACCGATGTTTCGTCCTTGACGTCCGCTAAGGGGCTTATGCAGGCCGACGAATATGGCCGCCGTGCAGAGACTCATCGAAACGAAGCTGCTGTGGTCATGGAAGTGTGAAGTGTAGCTGCCTGTATCCCTATTTAGAAACTGAATTCGGAGTGAGACTGCGAAACTACCAAACTATGTTAGCGGAATGATGCCGAGGTAAGTTTCCGCTTTCTGTAGTGGGGAGAAAGGAGGGGGAAGTACGAATAGGTTCATCCTGCAGCAGACAGGAGTGTGAAGGAATGGGGTAATGCTTATCGATCTCTAGTCTTATCGATTGTGTCCCGTAAAATACTGCACATCCGATAGAGTATTTAGTAGGGGGAAATAATTGTGCACACAAATAGCCTTTCTCTTTGCTTTGCAATCGAGTCAACAACAGATTTAGAAATTAATGAATGAACAAGTCTAGAGGTGCGCATAATAAAACACTAACTGACAGTTTGACCTAGTCATATGTCTCATTATTCCGAATGAATATCTAAATTATCTCGTGAAGAACGGCTCGGTTCACGTATCGTGGCGGAAAATGTGGCTGGTGATGTAAAAACTGCTATAAAATAATTGAGAACTACCGTTCGACACCGGGAAATTAAAGAAACGACCTCATGAGATTCTAAGTGATATGTTCAGACAAAATAATTCCTCGGCAAAAAAAAAAATTGAAAAAACAACCTCGTATACTTACGATTGAGTCCGATGTCGTGGTATGTGAACAAAGCGGGTTTTTGTCGATCGCCTTGAACGGCCACCAACATCGTGCCCCACTGGGTCCCAATTTTGTCCTCCTGCGCATATGAGTCTGATCGCGAAAGGCGACGCATAAGGGGCGAAGAGGCCTCTACTCCGCGCAATTCGATATCGTCCATTGTGTCGGTTGGCATTTTGCCTCTGAAAAAGGAGTCAGGCCAAGGAAAAACGAAACGTAACGTTAGCGATACCAGACGAAGGCTTCTGCTGTTTTCTACTACAGCGCATTCACAGATGTTGACGCGAATTGTTAATGTTGACAAATGGCTAACGATATGCGCATTACTTAGGCGACAGATCGCGTTTCACGCAGGTCCATTGCATGCCATTAATTTTCTTTACTCTATGCAAATTTATTGAGCTTTTAATAATTGCGAGGTATTGTGTGCACAGGTTTGACCATAAAAATAACATATTAAGGCATCTATCGATGAGATAACGCGCAAGCTACTTTTTCCATATGGTTTGATTGTGGGTACTGCACCGAATGGATAACATTTGACGTTTCACAATTTGGCAGTGTTAGGTTTAATTACTTCAAAACAAACAGATTACGCTTTAAAGTCGAGCGTGTTTATGCCTTCTTCACAGTCTCATCGTCACTGCTTTTCTGTTCCGATGGTAATAAATAGAGGGTAATAAGACGTCGGGCACATGCTACACCAGTAATGAGCCTCGCTCTAATGAACACAAACAATAAATTACGTACGATCCCTGCTAGACCATTAACAAAGCGTCGGCATTTTTATCGGGAAACTTTGTTTATGTGACCTTTTTATTGACCCTTTGGAGAGGCAGTTTAAATTCTGGCCCGTCAAATATTCTGTCCACATGAGTCGCGTTCGACATAAAAACCCCGTTTTTGTATTAACACAATAGCAATTCGATGGTTCAAGGGATTTGTCTAAGCGGCAACTTAACGGTTAACATTACGTGCTGGCTATCTGTTTCTCGTCTTCAAGAAACCTGGCAGAATTATTATTCCATAAAAAAAAACTAGATAATAGATACTATGACTCTATTTATCGACCATTACATGAACCGTTATCGAGCAAATGAAAGGGCTTGACATGAAGAAGAGAAGCAGGTTTGCAAGCCCGAAAGCTTCACTTCCCACTGCGACGTAGGCGGATTCATTGCAGGCAGATAAATTTGTCGCAAACGTAAATGTGCCTATCCACTTGAACGGTAGCCCGAGAACAGCCGCCAAAGGACAGCGGAGCGAACGAGCGGAGAAGTTCTGTTGCCATGCGAATCGCCGCAGCAGCAGATTCTCTTTTCGAAGAAGCCACCCATCAGCAGTTAGTCACCGATTGTAGCCATTACAACCAGCAAGACTACTGAACAGGCCAACGACGCATAAACCGCGCGAAGAACCTTTTCCACTGCTAACGCGATGCGATGCGTAGGGCACTCAAGCGACTACGAAAAATATGCATTGAAGACGCCGCTGTCAGCTCGTAGGTAGTAGCTCACCGTCCCAGTGGTACTCGATATGTTACCAAGCGGCGTTAGAGACAGAAAGGTCTCGACGACAAGAAGGGTCTCGACGAAGCGGCGCAAATAAATAAATAGCTTTACATTACTATCTGGTGCTGTTCTGTATACATTCATATATATAATATGCAGCTTCATTTTCCACAAGTACGGGTGACAACAAAGTAAATTTGTTCTTTGTTGTTTATTCCACGAAAAAAGAAAAACAATTAAATACACTGCAGAACAGGTAATTATCTTTGTCAATTCACACAGGGAAAAACACTTTGGATTCGATAAATTTTGTTTTAATCTTTCTCGCGCTTATTTTTTAATTTTACCCTTAGGGACAAGAGGGGCTTGGCAGAAAAACGCGTCTGCCGCTATTGCTATGTTCAAATGCATCGTATGAGGAATACATCGGCGGCAACGAAAAATACTGCCGAAGGCAGCATTTGCACTGGGATCGCCAGCAAAAGCTGAGAGAGCACAGCCAAACACGAAAGTTGAAGGACACCGCACACAAGCCTGCCTTTACTTTGCTCCTTTCGCCGTCTTCCTACTGACAGAATAAATACAAACAGCACGAGCAATAGAAACAAAAGCATTATACTATGCCCTGGAACTCTCGCGAATACAATACAGTATATAGAGTCCCGGTGCTAACGTCTCTCCGTATACTGCCGCCGTGACATTTGTCGCGGACGTGGTTACGTTACGCTGCCGTACACTATTTTGTCTGGCTGAAAAAGCTCATCCCTTAATTTTACCCCTTACTAATATTGTGCCTTCTCACGCTGCCATTGTCGATATACATGTATATATATAGTTGAATAATAAATACGTCCGGAAAATCCAGTGCCGTAGCACGATTTGATCAGACACCCGGCAACCAACCGCCAAAAGCAAGGCGCACGCAACTGCACGAGATGAAACCGATTCCAGTATACGCCTGCTTATATACAGTTGCACATGCAGTTATGCCTGACGAATTCTCACGAAGTTACGACGAGGGGACGAGAGGAGGAAAGAGGCGCAGAGGTGTTATCGAAATAGCTTCCGCTGCCAAAAAAAGCTTACGCACTCATCTGCATATCTAGCTAATGTTTGAGTTCGCAGCTGAAACGACGTGAAAGCTAACAACGGAGGTGGCGATTAGCTGCAGGCTCAATGGGCCTTGGAAATTGGATTGTAAATTGAACGTGCCTGGCAACTGCACAGGACAAACATAACTGATGTGCGCCATTTAATATAGCGTGTTTTGTTGGATATGCCGGACGCTCGCCGCTTGCCTCGCGCTCCGTTAAATGGACATTTTCGCTGGCACAACAGCAGGGCTTCGGTCTGTAACAGGGCTCCAATCGGCGTCTGCTGGTAGATGATGACCGGAAACGAAGTAATGTATCAACTACGAAATTCACCCAATAACATCATTGAAGCCACGACCATTAATAGCAGCAGCTCGGTTACATGGAACAACATGGCGTTTAAAATGGTATGAGCGAAGAACCGGAGTAAAAACAGTAACGATTACAGAACAAAGAATTGGGAAAACACACAACTATGAAACTCTACGTTATACGACTTTTCTACTGTGTTTTGGGTCGCATACGAATTAAACCTGACGATACATCGTTACCATTGGCTGTCGGACTTAATGACCAGTTGGTCCTCGCCTTGTTCAGCCGGGTTGGCAACAAGACTGCTACACTGATGTGCTCTAGTTCGCGTCCAAAAAGGTCTTAATCTTTTCACCTGTGTGCGCGCCTATTCTTATACAAACGCTTGCGCCCGCTCAAAGCGACGCCGCGTCATCGGCCGCACTGCATCGATCGTCAGGATATTACGACCAAGAACAATTTTATTGAAGGGCTGGATTATTCTATTCAGCTGAATAGTACGGTACCACAAACTCTGACTCATCGGCGGGAGTTCCAAAAGTCTATGACCTAATAATCACTTGGCCAACCGAATCTTTATCCGGGCAAAAGTACAGCGGAAGATTGCCGCACGTCATGACAAAATATTTCTGAACGCGGTGCCTGCATTACGTGGTAGCTACTATTTTCGGCACGCTAGAGCTAAACAACACAAACACTAGGATTAAGCCAGGTAGAAATCAGAAACGGTAGGTGACCTGACCCCTTTCTGAGCTCTTCAGTCATCCAAATCCAACCGACACGGTGAACGCACATGGAACAACGCGCGCACTTGAAACGTTTGTTTTGTTTCTACATAGAGAAAGAACCTGTATGTTTTCCCTCGCCTTGACCATCACGTACACCCGAAAACACACGCGCGTACATTGTCGATTACAAACAGACAGGAGCCACTCGTGAAAGCCTCTATATAAAGGATGGCGAAATCTGGGTGGTCAATGCATACTTCCTTGAACGCGTTTCCATGGTAATCGTAACTAACAAGCATACGTCTACGCTGGTTGAGATCTCAGCGTTGCTGAAAATTGTCATCAGATATTAAAATAAATAATAAATGAGAATTGGAGGAAAAATAAGCAGTTATTAATAGAAAGATAAGGTAGTTTATATTATGAAGTTTAATAGCTGCTTATATGGTAGCCATGCCGTTTCGTAAGTCTGCTAAAGAAAGTTCAATCAAGCTCAGCAGGATTCACTCCGGTTGGACTTCTGATGGGGGCAAATACTTTATACTATACCTAAAAATAAGTGACAAAGAATAAATAATCAATAGTACTAGGTGCAAGGGTAAAAGAAAACTATTTGAATAGATTGTTTAAACGTTTCTATTATATTCGGTGAAGCGCGCACCTACATACATAATACCCCTACATCTCAATATGTTTCTCTTGTTACTATCATTAATCGTTCACAGTTAACAGCACTATCAACTAATGATCTTCGCCACACCTGAGAAGGTGGTACGCCATCGAGGACAGGACTAGAGATCCGCGGGGCACCGTATACAGCAGCCGTCAGTTGAAGCTACAGTTCCGTCAAAATCGGTTTATCGACAACTAGAGCTACAAGAGTCCGATCTTCCTTCAGTAATATCGTTTACAAACACACAGCTGACGCCAAAAGCGTTGCTGTTAAAGAAGGCAGGCTTTCATCTTGATGTGATGACACGATGGGTTTTACCCAGCGCAGTGTCGTGCTTCGTTATGTATTCTGCAGCTTGCACTATGTTTGTTCCTGGTTGCACCAGCGTACGAGGAAGGCCAGCAGCGCCGATGGATCGGAGCGGACCAGTCTAGAGTGTTGCTATAACAACGCAGTTAACTTACTCGCGCACAAGGGTGAGGGCTTGTGGGCCCTTGTCGTGAGTGAGGACAGGGGAATAACGGCCATCCGTCGATTCGTGGGTCCGCTGGTGGCCGCCTCACACGCTCGATCCAGCCGGCCCAGCGTAGTCGTCCTGTTTCGAGCCACTAACCGAAAGAGGGGTCCGTCAAATCGTCTATGCCCGGAACCAAGGGACCGAAATTCTCGTTCTTAGGCGCCGATTAACAGCAGCGGACGCGGCAGTGGTCACAGCCACTTAATTCACGAGAAGATAAAGAATGGCCCATCCAGCGAACTATGTTCATCTTCACTAATCCTTTACGATGAAACGGAAAGCAGTCACAGCTGCGGAAGCCCGCCACGAGAGCGCCAACAAACGGAGTACACGGGTTCTGAAGGACAAAGCGACCTACAGACCCAGCAATCACAAATCGCTTAACTAGACTAGGTAGTCTGAAATCTGATTTTCTTGTTTTCGTTCTTCGGTATTGTGATATCTCGCTCTGACTTGATGTTCCCTAGGCAACGCGATCCTTGAGTTGAGTTGTCTATTCGACTTGGAAATAGGCACCCCAGGTCGTTAATAGTTGTTGTTCTGTTATTGTTACTTATTTTTGCGGCCGTTGATCCTGTAGTTACTCGAATGCGACCCCACTCGGTGCATGACTCTCTGCTGGGTTCCTGCCCATACTTGACTCGCTATCAGATTCCAATAGTACGGTTCGTTGATGTTGTTACTACTCTGATATACTATTGCATTAAAGTTTTGATTGTTCCTAGAGCAGACTACGATAATGTATCTGTGCTTGGGGTGTTATATTTACCCGATTTATATCACCGACGCTCGTGTTTTGTCTGATACACGGACAACCACTAAGTAAAAGACGACTGTGTTATACGATACTACTTAATTCACTTTACAACTACTGAGTGAAGCCGCTCTGCTTTGGACTGCAGCTTCAGCGTAGTGGTTATGGCGCTCCCGTAGTACTGCTTTGTTAATTCTGTTACCGGTTTATGACGGAATATAATAGAATAACGATCGGTCAAAACGAAAATAAAGCTTAACGCACATACGTCTATGCACAGACAAATAGACAAACCTGTTCTATCATATTAACTCCATGTCTTCTACGAGCATTCGTAGTACTTGTACGTTACACCTCTGCGTATGGTAGTGCGTACTTTTTCGACGTTGCGGTTAGCGTCGTAACAGCCAATAGTGGAAATTCGAATGGTTGTAGCGCGTTCGCTCTACCCGTAACCAGTAGCAGCTCCGCGGCAAAACATCCAGCGACAGCAATGGCTAGATGTCCCAGCAATCACAACAACAGCCACCGACAGCAGAAACCAGAGCTGCAGATGAAACGCAGCGTCCGCAGGGCGACCGTCTTCTTCTGACGTCCGTCGCGACCGCTGCCGTTGTTGTCGTCGTGATCATGCGTGCGTTCTCGCGATTCCTGGTTGTGTGATGCGCGCGTAGCTGTGTGTGTTTATCATACATAAATGATGTAAGTGTTAGCGTTCCGAGAGGCCAAACGGCGCAAGAGCTCTTGGCGACAGGCCAGCGTCCGCATGTTTTAGTGGATCGATGCTGCTGCTGCTGTTTTGGACCCGTCCGTGTGTCCTCCTATAGCGCTCTATTGCGTCGATAATGCGCTCTTCCTCTACTCTACACTACCGCTGAATTAATGCTCTAATGCTGGCTAGCTTACTCGATACCCGGTTCCAGCTGCCTCGTAGCTCACCGCCGTTGGTTGACGGCTCACGAGCGCCGCTGCCGCCGCTCTGACGGGACTTTGTCGCTAGTGTTGTTGCTGCAGCACGGCCACGAGGGCCGTCACCGGCGGCTCGATCATTGCGGAAAGGAGGGACCCCGCAGCAGTGAAACTCTTAGTTTATGGCGCTCCTGCTGCTCTTACGTTTGTAATGGTAGTTAGTTGCGATGGTAGGCAGAGGCACAAATGGGCACGTGAGAGGGCACACGTATGACCTTTCATATTGTATATAGAACCGCCAAGAGGCAGGACCTTGAGCAGAACGATCAACATGGATACACATGGAGAGACATACGTTCAGAATGAAAATGCTGTAGGGCGAAGAGGCCCGCTGCTAATTTTACTGCGGCAGTAAACAGCGCTGACTGATAGAATGAACGGTGGACGCACCGATGGACGGTCATTTTCGGCTCACAAAAGGCCGACAGCGAATGATAGAAGCTAATCGGCTAGCGGGTACCTAGCAAGTTCCTGTGCATATTTTCTTCTTTGTCTTTCCCTTCTTTGAATTCGATCCCTTTCTTTATGTTGTCGGTTTATTGTTTCTTGATAATGCCTGCCGCGCGTTGGTTACTTTAATCGGCGATAGGCCACGAGTAGGCCAGCAACCACCACCAGCGGCAAAGAAGCCTCTACAACAGCTGTTGCTGGTATAAACGGCAATACACAAATTGTCAACCTGGTAAGGGTATGTCGCTGAGTTTGTCCGACCGCTCAGCGGCGCCCGATATCGTGTCTAAAAAACCTGATGCACGCAAAAAGTCCGCAGTAGCAACTGCAGCAGCACAGAGAAGCGACATCGTTGCTCCGATGTTAATATGCTTGTATGAGATACGACAAAGCATTTTGTTATGACAATGGGGGTTCTACTCTTCATGCTGCTTTAAACTGTTGGTGATAGCAGGCGGTCGAACCGTCATGCCAGTGCCCTTTTACTCTATTCATCTGTTTGCTGATAGACTAACTCTAACTCTAAAAACTAGTACACCCTTCAGTCTTACTGATTATGTATTTATGTGTTCGATGATACGTTATGAACGCTAATTGGGAGATTTATATATACAGCTTCTGTTATTAACGCGGCTAACCCAATAATATTTGACAGTCCATTGAAAAGACGAAAAAACCTGGTGCTATTTATAAACACCCACTTGTGTCATACAGTCGTGTGGCCTATATGGTGTCTAAGACACTTGCTCAGCCACCGTCACGCCACAATGACCCAAATATTCGCTATCTTTCTCCGCTTCTGTTAGAATTAGCAGCAATACCTATCGCACACCCTATTCGTAAACGTTCGCATTGGTTAGCTGTGATGTTTGCGCTTTTCAAAGTTCGGTGTCTCGCTTAGCTTCCGGACCGGAGATGGGGCACATTTGCTGTCATCCGTCAACACCAAACATATATATATATATATGCCAGCTTTATCCAACGACCTTCCGCCCAGGCTAACTTTCGATAGATAATAGATGGACGGACTAGTGCTTTGTTGCTGCCTGCTGTTGTTTGACCTTATACAGCGATGACAAACAACGTCCTGGGTCGTTGCTGAAGGTGACAGCAGTGCGCGATGACATTCGCGTGTTTACGTGACGCCAGGAACGACAACAATACCCACCAAAGCAACAACAATAAACACGCTGTCTAGTCCACGTCGGCCTGAGCAATCTATACACAGATAACGAGCCTGATCATGATAATGCAGCGATCTGGGCCGGTGACACCGCATTGAGAAAGTTCAGTAGGCTACGGGAAGGCTATTATATGTTAGGCTGGTGATAGTAAAACAGGACACAGTAGAACAAATTATCCTAGACAGAAAAGTCATTCGTGCCTGTCAGTGGTTTTCAGTCCATCGACAAGTTCGCTATTGTTGGCGTTCGTATTGCTTAGTTTTGGCGAAACATCAATTCAAGCAGCAGTCGGACTCTACATAGAGTAGAAGTAGACATCAGCTTCGATAGATTATTGTCTTTTCGGCTATTATTGCTGATACAATTAGTACTTTGTCTCTTCTGTATAAGATATTCCTACATGTGAATTGAAGATGCGCATTATAGTCTGCCAGCGATCTACAGAAGCACGGTATATGCCTGTGTCATATAGAAGTATACAAGTGTACATGTACTATCCATCATACAACGGCTGTACATCGATATCTTCACACAGCTACACAGGCGCCGGCTCAGCCATACACCATATAAAGTATAAAGCTAATATAAACTCAAAATACGTCACCCAATGCTCAAAGATGGACAAACAAAAGCAAATGTTTTATCCTTGCATAAATACACACCGCACAAAGTAAGTGGGAATACTTGTAGAGCTCGTGGCCGATGAAAAACTGGTCTCAGCTAACGAAAAAGATTCACACGTTGTTTCTTATAGCCAACAACAACAACAACTCAATAGCGAAGATGGTCTTAACAAAGTGTCCAGCTGTATCACCACCACAAGCGTGTCCGGCGACGCCGATTACGGAATAATTATTATGATGTTTGATGGTGCAGCCGCCGACAGATTCGTAGCAGCGATCGTGGCCGCTGCTACTGTGCTCGCCGTCGTGAGGCCGGAAAAGGACGCGCTGCCCTCCTTTCTCAGGCGATAATAGAGACACGCGACGGTTAAGGAAGACGAGTTGACATCATAAACGACTGTGGATGAGGCAGGCAAAAAGCCGGACGCCAAGTGAGCGCCTCCACATGTGACAGCGATCCTGGGAACGCACTTTCGGCAGCAACAATAGCAGATACTTAACGCTGAGGAGAGGACCTGCTCTCTGGACACCGCCGCTGCTGTTGCCGCAAGCTCGTCAAGTTTTTCATTGCGGACACCGCGATCGCCAATCTCCAGAGCGACTCCTCTCTTTTATGAGAACAATAACGATAACGAAAATACTGGCTGCGATCGTATCATTATAGAACTCGCCCAACGTTACGTTAGACGACGGCGGCGACGACGACAAAGAAGAAGCAGCGAAAAACACTACCACTGTGCTCATCCAGGATCAAGGGCCGATTACAGGATAGGTTAGCGCACCTAGCTACCTAAACGACCAGCTGTTGCTGTACCCTCCGCAACGTCTTTCTCATCCACTTCTTCAGCGCGTTGCAGCCTAACGGCACTTTTCAAACAAATAGACAACCGAAATCAATTTCGATCTGCACACCCATCTAATGGGAAATATCGACAAATATTAACCAATCAAGAGACCAGTCTTTAATTGAACAATATTCAAAGTAATTGGACGTCATGAAGAGCCAATAGGTAGCCAAGGAGTCGGGGATGACTTTTTATTGAAAGGCCAGTGATGGTCAGTCGTTTATAGCAGTTTTATAACTATAAATGTTATAAACATTCACACCTAAAGTAGCTTTTTATCTCTTAAGCTTTTGTAACACTCCCATTGGTCCATAGTCCCTTTGCGTAAGTAAATTCGATTATGCAGAAGAACAAAGTCATCGAACAACAAGAAAACATGCAATTGAATTAATTATATTGATTTGAGCTACTCATAACGGATACGTACGGGGCTGACTTTCATGAAAACCTATTTCTTGATTGAAAAGCCTATTTGTCACCCTAAAGCATGTGGGTTATACTAGACGTTGGGGTAACGAAGGTATCATGTCTGGAGCCAGTGATGATGATGCTGCAGCAGCAGCTGGCACCGTAATTTTAGGACCAAAGCACGAGATAGTGGGAAAGCAGGGCCAGACAAGTGGCGTCTGGGACAAAGATCACTCATGTTTCTTAATCGACAGTTGCTGCTTTGTGGTGGAAATAGTTGGCCGCAATCAATATACACACGGGACATCCAGGACGAAATAGTAACGAATATTAAATACTATCACTATAGTACATTGTCATTGTTGGCAAGGCAAAATAGCATGTCGCGCTCGATAAGAGGACCAATAACTTCGTCTGATTGTTTCGTTAAAATGAATTACGGGTAACATCTTGTGACGACGTCTTGTCGAGATTTCAATTTGTGAGCCAAACTAATCATTTGTCGTCACCTCTGTGTCCTATTTGCCTACTTACCTAATGCGCTTATTCTGTTTGCCTTAAATATTGTATCAATTTATCGACTGTTTTGAGTGGATTCCAAAGTAAAATCATCGTGGTGTAATAGTAAAAAGCAATTCACAATAGAAACAGCGACACCTATCGTTGGAGACGAAGAACAAACTCAGCGAGACGGAACTAGACAATGTCATACTGGAAAATTTTTCCTAAGAAAAAGAAACGGATCGTAAATAATAAACGTAAAACGTATAAATTT